TCCTTCAAAAAAAAAAAAAAAAAACAACACAACAAAGGACCAAATATATTGCATATTATATATATTGTCTGTTACAGCCTCCCTGCCACTGCTGTTTTTCTTTAATATATGAAATTAACCCATTCAGATGCTTTCACATCAGTATTATAGCCTATAATGGTACCTCTCAAAGCTGAGTGCATCCGCCTACCTGCAGGTTGTACGGCTTCCCTGCCCGGATCAGTTGAGACACCAGGAAGTTAGTGTGGAAAAAGTGCACATTTTCATCTAGAAATCCATGCAGGATCAGCAACCTGTTGGGCCTGTGTTTAACAGGAAGGTAGAGCATTAACTTTCTTTTCTCATCTTTACATCCACATACAGTATGCAGCAGAAAACGTACCTGCTACAGCTAACATGACAGCAAATGCAGGGGTAAACCGTACACTCGTACTAATACTTTCACTGTTGGTGAAATTAACTATGCAGACATCAGGCTGGCTGTTAGATAAATGACGGAGGTCACGCTGTAGTGTGTTGTAATGTTATTGAGTAGGCTTTTCTCTTGCTAAGTATAAAACTGAAAGTGGTGCATTTTAAAATGGCAGTCCTCACTCATTTGGGAGTTTGTCGACATGCAGGGCAACAGAACAAGCCTCGTATCCCTTCTGGTTTTTTTCAGGCATGTCCAGATATCGTTCTGTGTATCCAGTGTCGTAGGCCATCCACAACGTCACCGGAGCTCCTGCAATGGCAACCTAAAAACAAGCAAATGTTTTCCCTCCAATAAAAGTCTAGCTCAGCCTGAAGTATAGCCTTTAGTTATTTCATATTTTGTGCATTATCTAGCTATTGAGAGTGTGACGGTCTAAAAGAGTTATACAAATATAGCCAATGACTGTAACGGGTAGCAAAACCTTCAAGCTCACAAAAGAGATTTTATTGAAAAGCTTTTAATAATCAGGCTGAAATGGTAACTAAATCAGCTATTAGGCTCTAAAAGGCCTCCACATGATGAATCTCTATGCAGACTTTAACTCTCCATTTTCAGTGTCCTACTTGTTCATCAGCTGCAGTTTGCTCCAGTTTAGCACAAGCGCACAAAACAAAGTGTTAGTGGTTTGACCTTGAAGATGTCAGGTTTGTGCATGAGGCCCATGAGAGAGAGGAAGCCTCCGTATGACCAGCCATGGATTGCAACGCGGCTCAGGTCCACAAACTTGTACTTGTTAGCTATGTAGTGTAAACCCTCCACCTGGTCTTCAATCTCCACCTGCCCCTGGATGGAGGACAACAGAGAGCTCACTCACCTTTCATGTAAAATGCACACATGGAAGATTTTTCTAAAAACGATATTCACAAAGTGATAAAATACAATGAAATCAGGCTAAAAACTCATTACACTAGGTTGCATATGTCCTCATGATATTCAACTTCTGTTTATCATCAGACAACACTAGGTCCTCATAATATTCAACTTCTGTTTATCATCAGACAACTGCTAAACATTAGGAGGGAGTAGCTGCTTTCTCTTCATTGCTACATGTTTCTCCCTCTTGCTCTCCAACAGATACTTTCTGTGATAAATACCATTTTGTCCTTCACAGCTCCTTCAAACTTGAGTCCTCGCTGACAGGACCCCCGCCCATCGATGACCAGCACAACGTAGCCCAGAGAAGCCAGCGTGCTCAATCGCAGGTACTTAACTCCTTTAAAGGAGTTATTCACTAACTGCACCTGGAAAATAAAAATCACAGCAAAGCCATTTGCTCAAAATAAATATCCATGCCGGTCTTCCTTCTTTCTAATCTTCAATTAATATACAATATATTAATACATTATCTTTAACTGTGTCACTTTCAGTCAAATGATGCAGATACAGTATGTGTCCTGCTGCATTAAAACACTGAAAAAATTTGCAATACCACAGCTTAGACATACTCTAATACACTTAGAAGTTATACTTTTAAACAGGTATTCAAGTATAAATGCATTAGTATCAAAATATACTTAAAGTACTACTTATGCAGAACTGCCTATTTGAGAATCATACATTATTTGATTCATTGGTCATTTTAATACACTGCT